ACAAGGTAAGTAATGTATGCCTGTACTATAGCTTTGTTTTTCAACCATCAAGGTGAAGTGTAGTTGATCTAATGGTCTTGTACAAGGTAAGTAATGTATGCCTGTACTATAGCTTTGTTTTTCAACCATCAAGGTGAAGTGTAGTTGATCTAATGGTCTTGTACAAGGTAAGTAATATATTTCTGTACTATACCTTTGTTTTTCAACCATCAAGGTGAAGTGTAGTTGATCTAATGGTCTTGTACAAGGTAAGTAATATATTTCTGTACTATAGCTTTGTTTTTCAACCATCATGGTGAAGTGTAGTTGATCTAATGATATTGTACAAGGTAAGTAATGTATGTCTGTTCTATAGCTTTATTTTCAACCATCAAGGTGAAGTGTAGTTGATCTAATGATCTTGTACAAGGTAAGTAATATATTTCTGTACTATAGCTTTGTTTTTCAACCATCAAGGTGAAGTGTAGTTGATCTAATGATAACTTAAAGTATTGTCTCATTTTTGTAGTTTTTCATCAGCATGTGCTTTATTTGTGTAATAATAGTCATTCTGTATTATTTGAAAAAAGGCTATATTCCTCATGGTATAGTTTAGTTGGCTCAATAATGCCATGTGGTATAATTATTTTAAAATTATCTAGTAGTTGTTAGAGAGAGACTTCAGGCATTTAGCTGTGAAAAAAAAGGTAAGTAGAACATAATGTAAGATATAAAAAAAAAAAACCCGTAATAATTGTATTCTGTGATGAGCTGTTTCTGGTTATTCAAGTAGAACATATGAAGTATGAGTATCAAAACCTGAGAATTGGTTATTTTCTTTCATGGGAAAACTTTAAGACTTCATTATCTAGTCCTCAATGTTGTTGTATAATGAATGAATTAAAAAAGGGCCCATTTTATAGTGACTAGACACCTTGTCTACAGGAGTGGGAGGGATTTCTGATATGCATTCAAGAAGTAATTTTATCTGACAGAATTTTTTTTTCTTCAGGCAAGCTAATTTTTTTCTTTAGCTTGCAGGTATATTGTGACTAAATAACATGCAATTTTAACTAGGTTTGAATTCAAGGAAACACTTGAATGTTGTGGAATAGGATATTAGTTATGACTGAAGTTATATGAATATTATCAAAATCTTGTCTATGTGTTGAAATTTATGTGCGTTTTAAGATGTATCTGACTTTCAGTTTATATATTAGATATTATTTATGTTTGTGTGCTATTTGTATAAATTGAGGAACTAGGCAAAAAAACAAGGATTGACTTTTATACTGTGTTAATATGATGCTTTGTGTGAATCATTAATACAACTGAAGATAATGTATTACAACAAATTTTGCCTTGAAACGTTTTTGTGAATAAAGTTAATGTTAGATATCAATTCATCAATATAAAGTATGATGACTTGGGTATTTGTGTGAATAAAGTTAATGTTAGATAACAAATCATCAATACAAAGTATGTGACTTGGGTCTTTGTGTGAATAAAGTTAATGTTAGATATCAAATCATCAATACAGTATGTTGACTTGGGTCTTTGTGTGAATAAAGTTAATGTTAGATAACAAATCATCAATACAGATTATATTGACTTGGGTCTTTGTGTGAATAAAGTTAATGTTAGATAACAAATCATCAATACAAAGTATGTTGACTTGGGTCTTTGTGTGAATAAAGTTAATGTTAGATAACAAATCATCAATACAAAGTATGTTGACTTGGGTCTTTGTGTGAATAATGTTAATGTTAGATAACAAATCATCAATACAAAGTATGTTGACTTGGATCTTTGTGTCAATAAGTTTAGTACATGGACATATCTGGGACTTTTACACTATAGCATGCGGTCTACTGAGACTTTTACACTTAGTTAAATAGACAGGTCAAGGCAGGTCAGGTGGGGTCTTCTATCATCCCTCTGGGGTAGGGTAATAGGGTCCGGTGGGTCTTGGTAGACTACGGATACTGCGGTAGACTGCACGCTATAGTAGCACCAAAACATGTATGTAAGAGATCAGCTTTTACTGTGTAAGTCAACAGCCTACAAGAATATATGTTATCTGTGCTTAAATGCAAACACAAATTTACAGTTTTAATAAAAATCACTAAAAACATTTAGATTAACTACAATGTTAAGTTTACATCATAATACGTGCAGTTTTTTGTGAAATATAAAGAGGGCAAATGTGCCCCCTCTTACCCCTTCCTGTGGATGCCCATGACTTAATATGAGATAATAAAAAAATTATTACAAAGCATGCTGATTGGAGATTTGTATAAATGAAGGTAGTCTTAAATCAGAAATTGTAATGTAGAGTTCACTGGTGTATTGTAATGTAAATAGTGAAGTAGTCTTTGTTAGAGTTAAGCATAGTAGTTTGTTAGCATGTATTTCACGAGTTTTAATAAAATTAAGGTGACATCATAATCAAAACTAATCTGTCATCATGGATTTTTTGTTTAGGATTTAACAGCCATAGGTGTCAAGAAACCAACCCATCGTCGGAGACTAAAGGCTGAAATTGACAGGCTAAATATATCGGATTGTCTTCCTGAATACAAACCTGTAAGTTGTACTTCATGTGTAGAGGAAAAGATCATAGCACTTGAGTATTTTGTTTTACTGAAAGGAAACATATATAGTGATGTTTTGCTGCATTTAATTATTCAAACAATTAGTTAGGAAATAAATATGTTTGGCAGATTAAAAATAATTGAAATTTAGTTCTAAATTGCCTATTATATATGCAAACACACTAAGAAAGAATTAACTATAAAAATTGTTGCACATGTTGTTATACAGCTTATACTAACACACTTTTTGAGAGGGAGGAGCTTGAATATGAAGGCTCATAAAAAATTACTGAAATATTCTGATGTTCATTGGTTGTGGCTAGAAGTGTAAATTGTAATTTTGATCTTATTTATATGCATTTGTTTTGTTAGAAAAGAAGTAACCCTCTTTTACGAATAAAAATACAGAATGTGATCCAAATCTTTCTGAAAGAAAAATTATGGTCGTCTTTATTATTCATAGAAATTAGATTATTTTATGAGAAAAAAATTTACACTTTATAAAAACGATACTCTCACCTTAGGTAAAGGTGTCAGTAAAGCATATTGTAGACAACTGCAAGTGCTTACACAAAATTAAAGGAAAAGAAGCTAAATTTAGTCCTTGAGCATTTAAACAAGGAAGCATTTTAAGTTAAATTTAATATATTCTAGCTTAACTGTAGATTAAAGATTTTTAATTTTTTCTACCTACCAAAGGTCTCGTTGTATGAGTGGAAATTATTAATATATTTAATTCTTTTGTCTTGTAAGGTATATTTTGTAAGAGTAAGATTATCCTGAGATTAGCAACTAAAATCCTTTAGACCTGAATACATAATTGTAGTTAAAAATAATGATTTATTTTCATTATGTTTAATTAATGGAAAAATTTCAGCATATTTTTTTGTGGGCTGTTTTTGCTGCTATTGTCATTTTAGTGCAGAGCTTCACAATTGGCTATCTGCACTCTGTCCACCAAGGGGAATCAAACCCTGGATTTTAGCATTGTAAGTTTATAAACGTAATGTTAACCCACCTGGGGACTTTTTTTTGTGTGGAGAAAAAATTAAATTAATGTATCATTTTTCTAGTGAACATTTAGCTGTCCACAGCAAACATTTTTAAGTTTTGTGTTTCATTAGTTGACACTCTCCTTATTAGGATACTTTGTTGGAATGGCTTCAGTTACTAAAATTGGAGGAGTACTATGAAACACTCTGCCATCAAGGGTATAACACTGTTGATCGAGTCACAGAATTAACATGGGAGGATCTAGAAGAAATTGGAATTCAGAAACTTGGTCAGTTTTCCTCTGTTTTTCTCTGCATCTGTCTCAGTTTTTGTTTTCATTGCTTTATTTTTTAATGGACTGGATATATACATTGAAACAAAAAATAATCTTTGGATAGAATGTTTTTTATTTCCTTAATGACTAGGAATTATCAGTTATTCTGAGTTACAACATTCTGCAGTGAGGTTAACCTTTTGTTCAGAATAAAAAATATATTTATAATGTCTACATATTCAAAATATTTTTTACTGAAATTAATATATAACTGAATTGCTATGGTAAGTTTAGAAAAGATAAGGTTATATTAACAAAAATACTAATTTGTATACTTATTACATCTAGATTAAAGAAATGGTATCAAGGCCGAGAGAAGTACTGTTTATTTGAAAAATTGTCTGAAAAGTTTTTATATGATCCTTTTTAGTTTCACACATTCTTTTGGGGTCATGCACTGACCATTATGTAGGGTAAAGATCAAGTGTTGAAAGTGTGAAGCATTGAAGAAGTCCTTATTGATCCTTAACATCAGATGAAAGTATAATATAAGATAACTTAGAAGTTTGTATTTTTAGCTATTCAGTAAATGCTTTTCTTGAAGTCTTTGTATTGTCTAAATATTATTTTTTATCAGTGTCATTTTGGTTTCACACAAGAAAAAAAATGTAATTGAATAAAGTAAGAGAATTAAACAGGAATGGAAATCTAAACTTTTGTTCTACTTTTGAATGATGTGAATAAAAAAAGCTGAATTATCATTAGTGATAAAAAGCTAACTATTAGGCCTAACATTTTTTTAGGTGCAAGTATCCTATATATCAGTGCTTCTCAACTGGGTAAATGGTTTACCCTGGAATTAATGAGATCAGAATCGGGGTGAATGAGTATTGTCAACTATACAACAAATTCAAGAGCAAAAAAGTCACAACTTTTGTTATTTATTCTAGTTGTAGTTTGATATATATATTTAAGTCATAATAAAGAATTTGCATTTTAATTTAGTACATTTTTTTTTTTGAATTGGTATGAGTGAGCTGTTGTGAAAAACTTATAGGAGTGAATGATATTAGAAAAGGTTGAGAAGCACTGTTGTATATATATATTAGGTTTTTTTCATAACTTAAGTTAATAATGTACAGCTCAAAGCTTATAAAAAAAATAGTGTTATGAGAATTTTTGGTTTTAAAATAAGGCAGTGATCCATATAACTAATCTACATTGCTGTAATTTAGTTGAATTTCGTTTATTTTCATGCCTAATATATTTTAACAGTATCGAACAACAAATTAAAACTAGTAGCTTATAATTATATAGAGACCTAATTATTTAATAAATTTAAGAGCTGTGTGTTTTAGACTTCATCATATTAAATTCTGGATTAGCTATCTTATGTAATGAATAGAAAAATAGAAACAACTAGTATTATGATATAAAAAGTTTGAAGTTTGAGTAATTACAATAGAACTAAGGTATGAAACTAGACTAATCATATATGTTCATGTTTTAATATTCATCAGTTATTGTTTCATCTAATTATTCTCATATACCATGATAAGTTTCTGGTATACAAGTGGTAAAATGTAAATGGGACAATGCATAGTAAAAATAGAGATACTGTACAAATAAAAATATTATTTCTATGTTCAAATACATAAAACAGATTATTAACCTCTCTAATCTCTTTTGAACTTAAAGGTCACCAGAAAAAGATTATGTTAGCCATCAAGAGAGTCAAAACCATCAATAATGGAATTTGTTATCCTAGTCACATGCGAGACTTCCAGCAACATAGTTTGGATATAACTGGTGGAGTTATTGGTACTTTGCCTCACCCTACATCATTAGGTGAACTAAACAGTTTATTGCCATTTATCTTCACATTTCTAGAGGAGTTAAAATGGGTTTTTCTGCTATATTTCCAATGGGAGTGAAGGATATGTCATGTTTTTTATTCTTATATTCTTCCTCTTTTGGTGAGACAAGACAATTTTTTATTAATTTCAAGTAAATTCTCACAAATTTCACCTTATTATTTATAATGATAAAATATTAAACTCTAAGCAAACTGTGTGTAAATAACTTATGTTTAAAAATTATTGGTTTCAAGTCTGTAGAAATGTTAACGAAAATTCACTCATTTGAAAATACCCTTAGATTCTGTTCATAAGGGGATTGTTAAAACCTCACTAATTTTCAAAATTTGTTAATGTTCTTCATTTCAGGTTTTCTATTGTTTTGTGAAATACAGCAAGTTTTACTCTACTCTAAAAAGATGGAAAAATGTTTATATATCATTTTAAAAGTATTATCATATTTTGTGTTAGTTCATTGTTAGTTTTATGAATCAGTTACCCTGTCACAAACTTAATTTTACTTTATTGAACCCTAACTTATGATATTTGATCATCAATAATGTGAAATTACTGCAAAGTTAACTTACATTTGCAGGATTTTGAGAGTTCTTAAATATGAATTGATGTTAACTGCAGTGTTATAGTTTTTATATTGTCAGTATTAAACAAAAATGGAGAAGTTCATCATATTTTAAGGATAAATATTTGATTGTTGAATTTATAGTTTGAAAAGTTAACTTCAGTCTAGTTAATCTTACAAAATGGCAATTTGTATTTTTACACCCTTGACCTTACCAAATGTATTGATATTTTCAGCGCATACCGTCCAACCTGTTCCTTCCTATCCCAGCCAAGAAATTGCCATCACAACTTCTCGAGCTCAACTGTCACCAACAGCTGAAAATACTAGCATTCCCGAGTTGAAAACCTTCCAACAGTCTCCACCTAAAGATGAAAGTATATTTCTTCCTGGGCAGAGATGTGAATTCTCTTCACCAAATCATCTGGCATCACTTTACCAACAAAATCTTACAATACAGGTAAAGATAATTCAAAGTATACGTGGCTTCACTTTATAATCATAATATTATAATACAAGCCAATAAATATCTTTTTGTAAAATGAGATAGCTTCATTTTAATGAGCAAAATGTTACAATCAATGAAATCAACATTACAAAGCAAACTAGTTTCTCTCTGCAAATATAATTGTGCTTTGTAGGTAAAGAAAGTCTTTCAGACTAAAACGTTTCTCCTTCTAAACTCACGTGCAGGGCTTCACATTACCAAGAATATATTATGATGTAAGTAAAGAAAATTCTCAAGGTCAGATTGTGTCATATTACCTAGAATATATTATGATGTGGGTAAAAAAAAATTCTCTGGTTAGATTGTGTCACATTACCTAAATATATTATGATGTAGGTAAAGAAAATTCTCAAGGTTAGACTGTGTCACATTACCAAAAATATATTATGATGTAGGTAAAGATAATTCTCAAGGTCAGCTTACTTCATGTTACCAAGAATATATTACAATATACATAAAGAAAACTATCAAGATCAGCTTGCTTCACATTAGAAATAAAATATATTATAATACAGGTAAAATACATTACCTATGTCAGTTTACTTTAAATTACAAATAATTCCCCCCCAGTGGCAAGTCTGAAGGCATAGAATGCTTAAAACCAGATTTTAATACCTGTGTAAGGCACAGTACGGATAGTCCATTATTTAGCTTTGTGCTTAACTACAAACGTAGAAACAAACAATTACAAATAAAATATTATAATACAAGTGAAGATAAACTGCCAATGTCACCTTGCTTCACATTATCAAGAAACCATTATAAATACAGGGTAATTATATATAAAACTTGATGTTTAAAATTATTATATTTTTAAAGTTACTAGTTGTAGGCGAATTAAATTTCACTAGAGGCAACAAGATAATAATTTATTCAGTAAAGTTTGCACATAATAGGTGTTTCAAAACATTGACAGTATGCTTTTAATCATTAGCAATCAGCATATCAAGTCCATCCTTAAATGAAGCCATCCCAAATTAACATAATCTGTTCTGGACAATGAAAAGCATTTTATTCAAATTACTGATCTTATTGTTAAAAGAGGGATTGAAAGAATTGAAATACAAAGTATTGCTAGTTCATGAGAAAAGCAGTTAAGGTTTGCATAATAATATAGTTTTCAAAACACCCAAATTTAGTTTAGTCGTTTATATATGAGCGTCCTCCAGTTTATTCGTCTATATATGAGCGTCCTCTAGCTTTGTCATCTATCTATGAGTGTCTTCTAATATTATTTCACACTTAAAATTATTACATAATGTTCAAAACACACCACCCTTCCCTGCATGCTTTACACAATCCATCTAGTGCACGAGGACAATGGTTTTCCAGTGCCCAATTCAACAGCAATCCATAGGTGTTGCGTCCGGTAACTAAGTGTCAAAACACCCAAATACTGTGTCCAAATTTTTCTAAATAAAACTTGCGATTCTCTGGTGAAATTTTGTTCCCTTAAGACAAGTTGTTTTTCATAAATAATTATTTTAAATATATGGAGTTTATCTATAATAATTCTATACATTGAAAATAATTTTCCAAGCAAGATATACTAACTTCACTTTATCATAAGGTGAAACAATACAAGTGTACAGATGTATCTAAAACAATTCTCTTCTCAAAATCAAATGTTTTCATTTACTAACAAAGTGCTATAATAAAGGTGAGGAAATTCTAATTAATTAATTCAGTTGATTCGCTTTACTAACACATTACTACAGTATAGCAAAGATACTCTCTTTTTAAAGTCAGTGATATTGATTTTATCAACAGAGCAAAAATCCTTCAAATCAGTTTATGCGACTTAAGGAAAACATTATAGTAGTACTAAAGAAATCCTACTTTCTAAGTAAATTAATTGAGCTTGTTCATTAAGCATTACAATGAAGCTAGAAATTTCTTCTTGCAAAGTCAAATAATTTTAGTTTTTCAAAAAACATCTAAAAAAACTTTGTTTCAGTCTTAGTTAGCCCCACTTTATCAACAAAATGATTCGATCAGATTAAGAGAATATGTACTTGAAGATACAATTATTAAACTTTCTTAAAGTAATGATATATAGTCTTTTTTTAATTTTATCAACTAAACCTGACGTACTAGGTAAAGTTAGTTGGATTCTCTCTCTCTCAACAACTTATAACAATATATTATGTAAGACTCATGGGTGAGAAACATTTGATTCATAGACAATGAACAGGTTTTACTCCATAATGAAATGTATTCACTGCAAGCTTTACTTTACTGTGACCATTGTCATTAAACTGTTTAGCTTGATGAGGCTACAGTAAAGTTTTTGTAAAAAAAAAAAATATCCATGAAAAATCAGCTGGTATCAGTTTATAAGCAAAGCTCCATTTTATTTTAAGCAGTGATCTGAAAATCGGCACACTTCATCTTATTCATAAGATTTTATAGTGGCAGTAAGAGAGTTAGTAATCTCTGGGTACATTTGTTAAATCCATTTAGTTATGAAATGTTTGATGTAGTTTGGTAACTCACAATTTTAACTTCAAAATTTACTTTTATAGTTATTTCTTCTTCAGTTGGAATTTAATATAATATTCTCACTTGTTTGACTGTCATATTTTTAAAAACTTTAATCTTGAAATGCATCTGTACTCTCTCTTCTGTTAAACAGTATTTGAACATTATTACTTCTCAAGGTTTTAAGTTGTGTCATTTTGTTTGGAACAACTAAAGAAACTTGAAGTTAAAAGTTAGAAAAAGTCATGTATATATTTTTTTTTACTTTTTAGGTGAGATCTCCCAATAGAGGACATTCTTTAGAAAGCCTAGACATGGAAGATTCTATTTTGACAATAGCATATCCACACTACATTCAATCAGATACCTGGTATGACACTGTGAGTGCTTGGAGACATAATGGCTATGATACTGACAGTGAATTGAGTGTTAATACCAGTGGGAGTTACAATGTTTATGTTAGTGAAGGTACTCCAACATTGCATAGACCCAAGGGAATGGTAAAACCACGCCCGGTTGCCAAAATAATTGCAAAGACTAGACAAGAAGAGATGGACAACAATGAAGTAACTCAGTACATAGAAAGAGATCCTAAAACAGCTTTTAAAAGTAGTGATCACAATATAGATGGATGGTCAAGCTTAGAGGGCTCTCCACGACATATAATACCTGGTAGGACTTCTCAACTGTATGGGACATTGAAAGCAAAAAGAACACCACCACCACCTCCAAAAAGAACCAATTCCATGAGGTGTGAAACTAAAAGTGATGACGATTTGGATTCAATGCAGGATAAGGCTTTTGCTACTTGTGTACAAAGCTTGAGGTCTCGATTTGATCAAGCTACAAACAAGCAGAATGAGCTTCTACCTCCACCATCCTTACACCAGGAAAGACTACAGTCACCCACCACTCATTCAGAGGAATTCCCACCACCCCCATCTCCTCTCCCCTCTGCTCTAGAAGATTCCAGGATAGCATCTGTGACTAATGGGATGTTCAGGTCATCAGGAATACAAATTGCTTCCAGTGTCAAGGACTCGGTACAATCAGAAGAACTTAGAACTAATTCATTGTTTCGACAAAGAAGAAAAGATTCAGCAGATTCTAACTCTTCTGCCTCCAGCACTGACTCCAACTCTCTGCCATTTGCCAATGACAATGCTGGCACCATTAAACAAAAAGTCATCAAAACAGATTCAAGCCAGCTGGATCAAGATGGTAGGTTGACTGTTTCATAATAGACACAAAAAATTTTAAAGTGTATGCATAAACATTCTGGATATTCATTTCAGTAACAATTCTTCTTTTTTTTTTCTATGTATACACCTGGAAAAAGTTAAGCACCCCCGTGTTTTTCAAGTGATTCAGATTCGACGTTCTTGTGACTGATT